GCCCCAAAATGTCCCTTGCTCAGAAGAAAGATCGGGTAGCTCAAAAGAAGGCAAGCTTCCTCAGAGCTCAGGAGCGGGCTGCTGAGAGCTAAACCAAACAATTTTCTATCAGGATTTTTCAGATAAAGACAATAAACTTATGGACTGCAACTAAAAACAAAACAAAACAAAAAAAAACTAGATATAAAAACAAAAAACAAATAATAAAACTAGGTACTAGTCTTCAGAGGTACTCATTTTATTTCCATGTCTCATATTTTCTGTTTTAGCCTAATGCCCAGACATTGATTATTTATAATCATTACCAAAATTCTAGATAAAACCAGAAATATTTGGTAGACCCTGTTTAACTAAAATTAAAAAATTTTTTTTCCAGATTTTTAGTATTATACAGCCAATATTCATTACATGTGTGAAAGTTGGTCAGGTATAAAGTGCGCACCTGCTCTTGGAGGTCACGCACATCTGAGGATCACAGAGCGTTCCTGAGAACTTTCACAACATGGTAAAGGCCATTAGTTCTCGTGTAGCTATGAAGTCGAATACTGAGCTACCAATGGTTTTATGCTCCCATATCAGTCAGCCATGTACTCAGGTATGTGATATCTCATCCAGTTTGCCTACATGTAACAATATTTTGCCATACCTCTCATAGTTTATCTTCGATTGTCAAAATCCTTTATGCACTCCAGAGAACTATGAAAGGCTTTAGTTATTGGTTTTGATCATGAAAAAGCAGTGGCATAAATTGCTGAACCAGGGTGTTGATTAAATTCAAGGTATTCAAAACATGGATTGAGCACTTATTACATATGTGTGAAATACAAAGTGAATAAACTCACAACCCTGACACTAAGCAGCGCACATAACCATTATACAAGGCAGAAAGGGATAATGAGACTACACAGGTATGACCACATTATCTGAAACATAGAGAAGGGGAATGAGACATTTAGCTAAGGGGATTGGGAAACTCATTTTGGAGGAGGTGGTATGTGAGAATGGCCACACAGGATTTTGAAGGGCATGTAAGGATACATATGTTGGGATAGGATGAAATTCCGTTCATTTGCAAGGCCCTGCAAGAGGCATGCTCTGTCCCCTAATTTCTCTCTGGAGCTTCATCTGAACACATTCTGTCCTTTCTCTGGTCTAGCCACATGGGCCCATCGTAGTTCCTGGTACCTTCTCTCCTGTCTCATGATTTCTGCATGTTATTCTCTCTGGCTAGGACATCTGTGCACCACCTTTTCACCTATGTAACTCCGATTATCCTTCAGACCCAAGCCCAAGTACTACCTTCTCAGGGAAGTCTTCTCTGGCATCTCTGATGAGACCAAATCCTCTCACACAGGCTCTTATCCCATTCATTTGTATGATCACTTGATTGATGTCTGTGTGTCCCAGTGGATCACAGGCTCCATGGGGGCACCAACTGTGTGCCTTTCTTCACCTTTGTATTACCAGCATCTGGCAGAATGTCTGACACCTACCAGGTGCTTAATAACTAGGTATTGAATGAATACATGAATTAATATGAGCCAAGGAAAGCACAGAGGTGTGTTTGGAAACTGGTAAAAAGTCTGGTTTGACTGAAGAAACAATCTTCAAGTTTATGTTCAGAGATGACGATGACGTTCAAGTTGTACAAAAGTATTTCTCTGGTAAAATTAAATAATGGCTCCTGTTTTCCAGTGCATAAAACAATACATCCATTTAAAATTTTTCTCCTATATATCTTTTCTAAGCATTTGAAGACTTACAGTAGTAACAGTCTCTCTTTTTTTTCTTTTGCCTGTAAGCATCAGTGAACAACAAAATAAATGAATGCACAGCAAAAAATATTAGAAGAAAAAAGTTAACAATGATTAGTTTGACAGCATAATTATTATAGACATGTGCTCATGGATATTGTATTGTACATACATATAACAGGTATATTTTTCATGAATTAAGGTTTTCCTAATTGATAGGATCCCCTTTCTACTGCAAAGAGGTAGAAAATGTTATTGGCCAGGATGAAACATTCATAGGAAAAATGTAAGTTCATTAAATCATTCACATAGCTTGAAATATTATAATTTTGCAACTGTGTAGACAAAACATCTGGATGATTAGATGAATTTTTCATTTTCCATACAATTGTTTCAGAGTCATATACTCCTTCAATAGCCTAATATCACCATGATAACTTTACATCATAAACATACATTTTCTTTTGCTACATATTAATTATCTGAAAACAATTTAGGATTTAACAATCACAGTTACAATAGTACGCACTAATTGTTCAGAAAATTTCACTCTATTTTTATGTTGCTAACAGAGTTTCACAACTTTCCTATTTCCTAATTCTATGGTTACTATTAAAAGTGTATTGTAATTCCATACTCTAGCTTGTTCTAAGACTTTTTGGTCCATTACATTTTCCTAAAGTATTCGCTTTATTCTTTTTTCTTCCTCTTTTTTATTTAATCATTAAATTATCTTATTTTATTTGGCTTTATACTAAAATAACCCAATATATTACACTGACCTCACCAAAGCTAGACATATGTGCAGCATTTACTTAATTGAACCTTTCTGCCTTGTCTTGTTCTATATTTAAGCCTCCATTATGCAATGCTATTTACTTGATTTATTGGGTTTGGCTTACATGTTTTATAAATTGTGACTGTTGGGAAAATTTTAAAGAGATTGACTTGGCCTGATTGGAGAGTTTTATATTCAGGACTCAGTGCCATTGAAGTTACATTTGTTTTAAAAAAAAATACATGCATTTTAATAAGGACCTTGATCTTGGAATAAATAACACTGGCTAGGACAAAAGGTTTCTTCCAATTTTAGATTACTTTTTCCAATTTTAGAATTTAGTTGAAGTCTCAAGTCTATGGATACCAAATGCCGAGGTGAAGGGGTGGAAATTTAGCCACTGGGATGTGTCGGGATATCTGAACAGAGGACAGTAGATAGGCCCCAAGTTCCAGTGGTTTTCTGCATTCTTTCTTTCCATCCAGAAATTTGGGCTTCTGCCGAAGCCCTTTCTAAGGGCTTACACTCTTTTTCTGAGGGCTTCCTTAGGTAAAATTGGTAAAGCAATAGTTACTTCATTAACCAGGTTTATTGGGGATTGCTGTGTATAGGTCTTATAATATCCTCTGTGAAAGTCCTATCAATATAAAATATTTAATTCAATATAAAATGCTGTCTTTTTTTCCTTTCATCTGTGGTTTAGAGTCCTAATTTTGTATGTCTCTTGCTATGCCCAGTAATATAACGAAGAGCTACTATGTCCAAACAATGTGCTAAGTGCTATGGAGTCAAAACTAAGTTAAACACAGTTCCTGTCCTGAAGGGGCTCACAGAGCATAGTAGAGTAGTGTTGACATGGACAAGATGTAGCGGTGGCATTCAAGAAGGGCAGTGGACCACACTACCTGGCCAGCTAGAAGGAGGAACAGGGAAAACCAGAGAAGAGGTGACTTTTGAGCTGAGTCTTCTAAGCAATTAGGGTCTGATCAGTCAGACAAGATGGGGAAGGCACTCCAGGAGAGGAAACAGCACAAATGGAGATGCAATGCTCATTCATTCAACCATTCAAACAAATTTGCTGAGCAAGTTCTATGTGCTATGAGTAGAACACATGGCTCTGCCTTAAGAAGTGCTCTGTCCAATGGAGAAGGAAGATCCAATACACAGATAAGGTGAACACACAGTATTGTAAGAAAGTAGCAGTGGCATTCCCAGGGCGGAACAGAGCTGAGGAAGGGCTTCCAACCCAGATGCCCACCTGGCTGAGTTTACGATCTCAGCCCCGTGGAGGAGGCTCCTGCTGCTCTGCGCCAAGGTGGAGCCTTCTGGATCAAGCCTGCGGGGACTCTGTTCATCCTGTCGCTGTCCTTTCAGAGCTGCCCCCATCACAGTGCCTGCCATGTGCTGGGCCTCTCCCCAACCCATCTCCACTTCCCAATTCCCCTGAGATCCAAACATGACTTGTGCTCAGGACCTCAAAATTAAGACAAGGTGCCAAGTGAGCAATCTTGCCAAAGACTCCGGGACCTGGAAGGGCCACTGAGAGACTCATTGGCAGCACAGCTCCTTGTTATCTCCAGACCTGCAGCAGCACCTCACTTGGAAGCTTGTTAGAAATGAGGAGTCTTGGCTGGCCGTGATGGCCCATTTCTGGAATCGCAGCACCTGAGGTCAGGAGTTCAAGATTAGCCTGGCCAACATGTTAAAAACCTGCCTGTATCAAAAACTACAAAAATTATTTGGGCATGGTGGCACACGCCTATAGTCCCGGCTACTCAGGAGGTTTAGGCATGAGAATCGCTTGAACCTGTGAGGTGGAGGTGACAGTGAGCTGAGCTGCGCCACTGCACTCCACTCTGGGTGGCAGAGCGAGACAAAAGAGAGAGAGAGATAGAGAGAGAAGGAAGGGAGGGAGGGAGAGAGAGAGAGAAAGAGAGAGAGAGAAAGAAAGAAAGAGAGAGAGAGAAGGAAGGAAGGAAGGAAAGAGAGAGAGAGAGAAAGAAAGAAAGAGAGAGAGAAGGAAGGAAGGAAGGAAGGAAGGAAGGAAAGAGAGAGAGAAGGAAGGGGAAGGAAAGAGAGAGAGAGAGAAAGAGAGAGAGAGAAAGGAAGAAAGAGAGAGACAGAAGGAAGGAAGGAAGGAAGAAAGGAAGGAAGGAAGGAAAGA